GGGAAGCAGTCAACAGCCGTTCGATATGTGCCAATTGTTCAGCCATCTTCGTGTCGAGGTGCTGCTGCATGTTGACAGACTGGGAATCTACCTGCTGTTGAATCTGGCCAATTTGGCTATTGACCTCTGCATGTTGTCTTTCCTGTCGCTCTCGCTGATCAAGCATGTTGCGCTCTAAGGTTGTGAGGCGCTGCTCAAATCCTTCCCACTTCTCATCATCGGCCATTGGAGTGTCGCCCTCATCCATGTTGTGATGGGGTGGCTTGGCTGAGCTTTGTAACCTCTGGGCAACCTGGGCGGCAATGAGATCAAGCTGGTCACTCCGTGGGGCTTCCGGGCTTTTCTTCTGAACCTTTACAGGTGTTTGGTAGCCACCCCAGGGGTCATGTTGCTCCCATGGATCAGAGCCATCACCATCTCTGTCCTTTGCTTGCAAGGCGGCAAGGGTCTTGGCTGATCCCTGTACATATGCCGGTGGGGCCGGCTTAGCCTGCTTCTTGGAGATCTCTGAGATGAGAACATCTGAATGCTGCAATTGATACACTTCATAGGGGGGGAGGCTGGTTGCCTGGACTTCCCAAATCACTCCCAGGCCACTTGGGTCTCTTGACTTGGGCTGGCATGGTCTCGCTGCCCAGCCCCACTGTTGGAAGAGCTTGCAAAGCGCCGCTCTGTTTGATCCATGCGGGAACGGGCCTGCATGAAAAAGTAGGAGCTTTTCACCATCTAAATAGGGTGTAGCCGGCTTGTGTTGGATGTGGACCTTCTGCGCGTCCTCTATCTTGACTCGGAGACCAAACCTGGTACCTGACCGGACATTGCAATTCCATTCTGTGGTGGACTGAGAGGCAATCGTCGAGCCTTGCTTGTCGGCCTTATTGAGCCAGATAACCCGGTAGGCTGCGTCGGGGGAGCGTCCATCAATGGATCTCGGTTCGAGATAGTGCCCATTCTGTCCTGACCTTTGGAGTTCCTGCTCAATGTCCGTCTTCTCAAGTCGGAAGCATACACTGAAAACAGTGGCATCAGTTGGCCTCATCCTTTCCAGTCGATCATTCAAGAACTGCCTGTCCCAGACATCGATGATGGGGCTATGTCCATTGGTCGGCTGGAGGCATGGGATATCAGCAATGATCTGTTTGATGGGCCTGGCGATGAAGTCCTTCCACTGTGTATGGGCAAGTTCGTCCTTGTAGGTGACAGTGCGTAGTACATGGGTAGAGACTTCTTCAACTTTGACATGGCCAGATGGAGCTGCTCTCTGGACTTGATCTGCTCCAAGTTGGATCAACCTAGCCGTGAGGATGATGGCTTCTCCTGTCCGTTCACACTTGGCAGGAAATCGCAATTGCGTGCCAATTCCTTCCAGCATGGGGTCCTGGTGATCAAGGACAAGGAGTCCAAGTGCCTTCTGCGAGATCGCCTGAGTCACCTTGAGGTACGGAATGGCTTCATGTGCTGAGACTACGACAACACCGCTGGCCTGGGGACCAATTCTGCCGGATGCAATTTGGGACAGGCTCTGATTGGCAGAGTTGAGAAAAACCCCATCAGGAATTGACACGTCAGCCGCTGTGAGCTTCAATGGCTTTTGGTTTGTCTTGTTTTTGGACTTCTTTGCTTTGTTCCCTACGGGTTTGTCTTGGCTCGCCCTCAGTTGGATGGCAGCTTGGAGCTCACTGGAAAGGACAATTTGGAACTTTGGGATCTGTTGATTGGCCAACTGCTTGAGTTCTCTCCACGGGTCAGAGAGTCGCATTGCTCTGAGGGTCGCTTGACGTCCCAACTTGTCGATGACTAAGTGTGCTCTTTCTTTGGCTGCATCGGAAGGGACACCTCTGTCAATGAGCAGCTTGGCAAGGTTTTCAGCGAGTTCTCCATTACCCGTACCTCCAAAGATGAAGTGTTGCGGGATGGTGGCAGCTAAATGGGTATTGCAAGCCCTCAGGTGGTGATCAAACAAGGACCTCCAGGTGCAGGCAGACTCAATCTGTACCGGCGTATGTTTGAAGCCTTGGGTCCCAAAGTCCGTGTCCAGTGCTGCTTGCATGAGCCATCCAACAGCTTGGAATCCACAGTCATTGTTGAAGGTTGAACCACAATCGATGGTATGGATGGAGATGTGATTCCCCAAGCCCCGCGTGGCTAGGAAGAGCCAATCCCTTCCTCCTGGGGTGGTGTAAACTCTCATGTCTCCTTCATGCAACTTGATGGCAACAGGGAACCAGTGATGATCCACCCATAAAGTAGTGACAATGGTGCCCGGTGTCGCATCAAAGGGGGCCAATCTGCACATCCACCGCTGGAGCATTGGTTCCATCTCTTCATCCAAAGTTGATTCAGGCATGATCATTATCTCACCTACCTTGGCTATACCTGCTACCTGTAGCATGGCAAGGTAAAAGGTGATTTCATCAAGTGCGACCCATCCTTCTTGGTGATGGAGCAATTGGAGGCGCGGGCAAGGCTCGTCTGACCTAAGTAGGTCCGGCATGCACCCAGAGATACATGAGTGGGAGCTCCCACAACCTGGCATTTCACGGAGGTAGATCTGCTGCATTGGGGTGGTAACATCTCCACATTTCAGCTGCGTGCCTACACTAGTGTTGGCCCTGACAGGTTGGGAAAAGACATGCATTCTGGCCTCGGCAAGTGCAATTGAGCCTACCGTGGTGTCAGATTCAACCTGGACAATGCTCGGCTGTGTGTCGTCAATGCGGATGACTTGAACAGGGTGTTTCGAAAGTCGCACCTCAGGAGTATCTTCCGTGATCTGGATTGCTTGGGCAGTTGGGCGGACATAGGCCTGAGGGTGTCCATCGACCTCAACCCCATGCACATGGTCACGGCGCTCTTCGATTTTTGGGTCTGTCGGCTGATCATGTTCATTGGCCCAGTCCAGAAGTTCCTGGGAGAAACTTCCACGGTCAGGGGAGCTGCCTGCGGTGGTGGTTGCCGATTCAGCAGCATGGGACTGCTTACAGCTTGAAATCCCTGTAGCAAAGGCAGCAATTCCTCCGCATTGCGGCTTCAAATCAGCATGGTGGGTTTTAACCCTTTTGGGGGGATTGCCCTCTTCCGATGTGACATGTCCAATACCTTCATTCTGTGGACCTTTCTGAGATTCAGGGCTCTCGGGAGTGAGCGCATGGCGTGTGACCTCTACATCCTGGCCGAGGGTGGCAGCTGGCAGGCTCTGCAGGTTTCCTTGGACTTCCCTTGTGCTACCTTCTGCCCTGGTGGGTTCGGCAGGGCGGCCAAGCAAAACATATTGATGGCTCTGTTCTCCTCCATCTTTGGCACTGGGATGGCAATGCTGGAGGGGTGATAACCAGGCATTATTGTGACCCGGAGTGGCCTGGATTCCGGGGCGTGAGACATCCCAGGCATTAAGGTAACCCGGAGTTGCCTGGATTCCGGGTGCTTTGGCATTTGCAGTCAAGGGATCATCGGCTCGGTCAATGGGCACAGTGGATTTGGGTTCTGATCTCTTGCCGCTGATCCGGCAGTCAGCTCTTTGATGGGTTTGGCTTTCAGGCAGGGGGTGTTGGCAGGTCGTGTCAGCTGGCTTTTCCTCATCTTGATGTGAATGGGAAACTTCTGCATCATTGACCTCCCTGCTTTCGGTTCCCCAGGCATTCTGTTGACCCGGAGTAGCCTGGATTCCGGGGCTCGGGCATAACCAGGCATTCTGTTGACCCGGAGTGGCCTGGATTCCGGGGCTCAGGGATGGCCAGGCATTTGGGTAACCCGGAGTTGCCTGGATTCCGGGGCATTGGATGGATGCATGAGCGGGTTTGGCACAATCGTCGGCATTCTCATCACCAAGCTTGTCAGTGCTTTCCCAGGCATTTTGGTTACCCGGAGTGGCCTGGATTCCGGGGCATGAAAGAGCGCAGGCATTACGGTCACCCGGAGTAGCCTGGATTCCGGGGGTCGCTGGTTGGGCACTGGCTTTGGGGGTCTGAGCATCATCAAGCTTTCGGTCAGTGCAAACATCCAAATCTGCAGGGCCTATCGTGGTAGGACCAATGCCAGCTGTGTACACATCGGTCAATGCTGAATGGACTCTGGCAAAGTAGTTTCGGAAGGCCGGATGCGATGCAATGGCAGGCTGAGTGGACTCAACCCCTTTGTACATGGTGACAAAATGGTTCCACAGGCAATGGATCGGGTGCAAAACTTCCAGGTCGAAAAGAGGCGCTCGGATGGCCATCACCTGGGAAGCAATCCAACAAGATTGAACCGGAGAGGCAAGCTGTCCTACCGCTGCAACCGCAAGTCTCATGTTATTTCCCCATACCAGTGATGGATCCATCCCATTCCCATGGGTGCATATGCCTTGTGGCTGGAAGTTCTCCAAAATGGGTCTGTATGGTTCCACCAATTGGGATAAGGGCACCAAACATCCCTTTCTCCTTCAGTCTTTCTTCTCTCAGGGGGTGGCTTCTGCATGTACAAGGGCAGGCGGTCAGTTGGTTACTCCATCCATGCAATGCAGTTTTGCAAACTGAATCCAAGGTCACCAAATTGGATGCGAGGCCACCAAATTCCTGAAACTTCCCAGTCTCATACCTGTCAAGTTCGAGTTGCTGGATCTCTTTGGACGACCAAATTGGGATACTTGGCAACAACTCACCTACAACCGGTGCAGGGTGTAACTGTGGCAGTGGCTGCAGGTTGAAGCTTGGCATGGACCTATCGGTGAGGACACACCACCAACGCTTGCGTCGACTGGGCAGCAGGTCACTGAGGCTGAGTTCAGTATGGCACCTGCGATATCCAGTGATCTTACAAAACTCATCCAAAACTCTGTTAACCTCAGGGTCCTGTCCAGCGCCTTCAACACATTCCAAAAGAATGGTATGTGATTGGAGCATGAATGCAGCTCTGAGTGTATGGACTAAGGATGATGAACGGCAATCCCCTGTCTTGCGTTTGTCTCCTAACTGCGACCAGGGCTGACAGCTAAACCCCGACGTGATCCATGCCGGGGTGCCATGGATGGCATGCAGGGATGCAATGGTGGCATTAAGGCCCAGGTCACCATGTACAACGTGTCGTCGGCCCTGAGCAGTCAACAACTCACAAAACGGTTTGCGGAGTTCGTTCGACACCTTAGTTGCTATCCCACAAGCTGTGAGTCCCTGGCCCATGCACCCAATCCCACTGCAAACTTCGATTGCTTCCTGAAACATGTACGGCCTAGCGATCCCATGGGCAAGGACATGTCCCTCAGTCACTCCCAAAGTCAAATGCCCATCCCTCTGCAAAACGACAGCGTCAAGCAAGGCAACTGCTGGGGCATCTGGAATGACACCTCTGAGAACCAACAGTTTCTGCCCCAAAGACGATCTGACCAAGCTCTTTGATCCGGTGGGGTCAATGACAATGGTGGCAGCCATGACATCCACCTTGTCACCCACCTTTACCTCTTCCCAAAGAGGTTCCAACCTGAAGTCAGCGAATCCCATGGCGGTCATCCCTCAAGGCGTTCGGCGGGCCCAGTCTGACCACTGGGAGGCACCTTGAACCAGACTCCTGTGTTGTCCCTTTATACTGGTTGGTTGAGAACGGGATTCCTTTAATGGAGTGTGATAATCCCCAATATATTGATTTGTATAGTCCCCTATAATCATGGACCAACCATCATTTCTATTCATTTCTCAGTTCTGAAACTCCAAGTTACGGATAGAGTGGAGTCCAACTCAGGACTTCATATAATCCCATCACCTTAATATTAAACACCCAATTTTCATGGTCCCAATGATCTGGAAATTCCCATGGGAAATTCCCATGGGATCCACCATGGTTTCTCGGGATTTCCCATCGGATCTGTCCCAGGACTTCGCGGGCGAAAGTTTGGAAAAGGTGCTGGGTTCTGATCTGCGGCGTGCGCCCTTGCACTGGGTGCTGCCTATGGAGATTCTTGGCGATACTAAGGGGGGTTTCCATCAATGGGGGTACAAAAAGGGGTACCCGAAATGCTTGGTTTATAAGGGAAAATCGGAAAATCCATGAAAATCCCACTAAAATATGGATGAGATGGATGATTTATGGGGGGTAGCCCTATGACTCAGGAAATCTCCATGGGGGATTTGTAATCATCCTGAAGTAAACATGTTCGCATTATATAAGGGGTTTTTGAAATGTCCGTATTCTATCTACTCCAGGATATGACAGGGATATAATCTAATGGGACATCAACCATTTTTGACATTTGCCCAAAGTCAATTGAGAAGTGCAAAATGAAGCCCTCGCAGCGCTTGATGAATCGTTGAGGGGTTATCCTTTATATATTTATTGGGGGATGATTCATTATCGGATTTACCATATAGTGGATTATCATCATCCATGAACTGGGAATCCCGTTCTTCACCAGGATTAACTGGAATGACTCTTCGGTTTCTGAAGAAACCACAATGGAGATTTGACGCTGGAGCCAAACATGAATGGGGAGATGATGGGGATAGCAGCATTGGTCAAGGGATACACAGGTTTTTTTTTAACCATATGGCATCCACCCCCAGTTTATGGCCACTGTTCCGTATATTTCATGAGGAACATGATAAGATTGAGAAAATGGGACGGAACGGAGTTCCAACACTTGAGAAACGGGGGATTGGAAGCACCAAACATGTATGTATAAGCATCAAAGATGAATCAATTTGAAGCAAGATCAACCAAAGAAATGGAAGTTGAAGCATGAGCAATGGCGGATTTACCACCAAATCTGGGTTGAATCATGCAATTTGAACCGCCATAGGGGCCATAGGTCTGGTAGAGATGGCTGGAGTATCAGCTGGAGATGAAGTAGTGCGCCCTCCTGTAATCAAACATGGCAATGGAACATGGCCCATATGTATATATATATATATACACATACACACATAATATACATGTTTTTCCCAGCTATAAACCTCCATTGATAGAAGGTTCCCAGCCATGTTTGATTACCGGAGGGTAGCACACATTGATTATAACCCTACAGACACACCGGTGCATTATAGTCAATGAGTCTTGGAACAAAATGGGACCTTTTCAGAATGGGATATCGGCATCGCTTCCATGGCGTTACAGCTACCACAGGGTTCTGTGATCTTCTGTATGTCCCAAACTCAACAGAGTGGATACAGCTGATATTATAGTACTCTAATGATAGAGGACTAGGAGACGAGTCGGGTTGATCGTTGATTCCACGACTTGGGACCTTGAAGACAGCAACTCATGGAGTGTTCGCAAGCTTGGATCAGAGAGTAGAGTCCCCTTTGTGACAGGGATTCTGGTGTATGACCATGTTTCCAGAACAGAAATCCAGCCACCCAAGCCACCGATATTGGTTCTTCCCTGTCAAGGACAAACAAGTGGTTGAACTTGGAGGCGGGTGCGATCTGTTGACGGTGAAACCATGTCAGACATGGTGAACACTTGCTCAAAGCTGGATTTACTGTACATACTATAGAGTACATATGTTACTATAATATATATATGTATGACATACATATATACATATATATATGAAATATGATATATGTATGATATATATATATATGATATATGTATGATATATATATATATGATATATGTATTATATATATACATATATATATACATATATATACATATATATATATATACATATATATATATATGTATACATGATATATGTATATACATGATATATGTATGAAATACATATATATATATGATTTACGTAGAATTATGTCGACATCTATGCTTGGCTGTATCTATATCCCCACTTTTGAAGCATGCTCACCTTCATGATTGATCATTTGTGGCAGGCTTGGGTGCCTTTAGAGAAACTGCACAAGAGTGCCTTTGCAGGCAGTGATGTGTTGCTGCTCCCAACCCTAGAGTTTTTCATGCAGGGTCTCTTATATCTCGTTGCCGGTGGACATCCCATCTATGATTTGTGTTCCAGATCTGTTTTACAAGCCATCCTTAAATTTCTGTGATGTTTACCACCAGCTGCTTAGAGACATGGATGGTCCCAGCTGGGAAGTAGTCAATGGCCATTGTCCAGAAGTCCCCCAATTTCGCTGATCCCATTTTCAGCCAGGTTATAACGGTATAGCCAGTATAGCCCCAGAAAGACACAATAATACAACATTGGAGCCACGTTTTTTTTGTGTTTCCCGAAAACAACTACCCTGCGTAGTATACCTCTGCAGCTCCCCCAACCTCACGTAGCCTCCCGCCTAGTTCCCTTTGTTATATTATATGCATCGCGCAGCCTACCTGTCAGTGTAGCCTTGCGTAGACTTCCAAAAAGTGGGATCCAGAAATTGGATCCGCTTGCCCCCCCAATGATTCGGCAGGATCGAGTCGTTTGAGACAGCAGAATCGCGTTCAAGCCAACGAGGCAAGTGGATTCGTGGGGACCATTATTCGCTTACTTGTGTTGCTAAAGAACAACAACAATCGTCTTGTCACTGTTATCACTCTTGTGGTGGTTTATCACCTCTATCCGATATGGTATGCTGGGGCATCCAGCCTCTGAGTGGGCTGTAGGTTGGTTGTTTCTAGCTATGGTCCCATGTGCAATAACTTGCGGTACACTTGGTCAACTTGTTGGCTTTCTAAAAGGCCTGGCTGCCAATCTGAGAGAGTTTCAGTGTGACAAACAGATTGTACTCGTAGAAGTGAGTACGACCCTGATATTCCTCCAACATGCGGCTTTGATTAGTTGATCAAGGGCTAGTTTCAGCTGTGTAAATTTGTTAGTAGTAGGACCTCAACAGCCATTTCTCTCAACCACCAATCAGTTTATTTGCGCCCCAACTCATATCTCGACCACTCGCCATGGACTGAAACATATTGAAAGCACCTGCAAGTGACAACTTCATTGTAAGACATTAGAACATGTTTGAACGAACTTCCAGAGGAAGCCACATTATCATGACCATCATGAAATTCCAGAGAAATTTTGTTTACTACTGTAGATTCATTGTAAGTCATTATTGACACCATGACCTATCCAAATAATCCATATACCATCATATATATATAATTATATATATATAACTATACCCATATATTATTGGGTATGTCCGACTACTCCCATGTCAGTCCCTGGCCCAGGAGGAAGAGGAGGCCACGACCAGCATCACCACCAGCGTGAGCAGCAGCCAGAGTATGTTCCTGGAGGAGCGAACACCGGTGACGGTCTCCTTGTTGTTGAGTCCTGGAAGAGAAGGTGCCACTTGGGATGTGGGTGCTGGAGATGGGATCGGGGATGTCCAAAACTGCCTCGGATTTAGAAATGAGCAGCATCTAAGTCATCTAAAGTATATCTAAGTGATCTATGAGGGTTAAAGTTCCACGCCTTAAGCTGAAACCTCGGCGAAAAACCATTAATGGTTTGGACGCGGCTATTTTTTTCCGAATGTAAATGATTTGATATGATTTACATACTAAAGGATTTTCATTTAATTTGCCCTGACGTGCTTTGGCGATCCTTGGTGCTTCACATGCAGATCTTTGGATAAACTGTGTTGGTGAATGGTTGCTGAATATGGGGAGCCATTTTGACGGAGGAATCTGATATTCCACTTCACTAAAGAGTACTTTGTTTTTATTGTCACTTCTGGGATCTTGGGGGTTGGGGGTATCAAAGGTCTTCCATGGGCTTGTGTCGGGAATTATCATGCGATGGGTGTCTTCCCCCACCAGCCAGTGGTTCATCCCAAAGAGTTCCTCCGACTTCACAGCCCCAAATTGCTAGACACCACTGAACAAAAATGATGATCAACCACTTTTACTTAGAGGTATACCTGGTCATTCATCCCGGATTTTTTTATAAGTATATATAAGATTATAATTAGATTATAATATAAGATATAAGTGGGTTGACCATTTTATGTCACATTTTATAACATGGTTATAACCCCAGTTCGATGTGGACTTGGTCCGGCTTGGTTCAGTGATTTCTTCACTGGGACAGAGCCGCGAGGCAAAGTCTTTTGGAATTTGGTCCACGGCTTTCGGACAGAGATCAAAAAGGATCACCAGAGATGGTGGGATTGCACCAATGATGGAAAAATGATGGAAATATAGTAATAGTAGGGATATATGATTTGTAGTGAAATAGTGTAGTGAAATAGAACGATATAGATATATTATGATATAAGATGTAATAGTTAAGTTTCTTCTGATTTTGGGATACATTGGGATGATATTTGGGATTGTTTGGAAATAGAGTCAAGCCGGGATGAATTCAGTTTATATGTCAGGGGGTTATCAGTTATCCCTAGAATTGCGATGAATTACTTACTATAGTAGTAAACATGGTACCCCTATTGGTAAACTGGGTGTTTATTCATCCTGGCTTAACAGTGTGAATTACTTGATGGCTGCAAACTTGTGTTGTGAGACAGCAACCGCGAAAGCCATGGTTTTGCATCATTTTCCAGATTGGTGAAATTGGTGTGGACAGTTTTGGGTGAGTATCGCCTATTTGAGACAAACCAACATGTTTCAAAACATGGCGCTGATCTTTTTCGCACAGATTTCAACCACTGACCAGGTGGCATAATTATATCACACAAAAAACTAGAAGACAGTAGGACATGTGTAAAATAATGGTTCACTTGCCATGAATCAAACCTCCATTTTGGCTGGTAGAATCCCAATGTTTATTCGTCAAATCCTGATGTTTGATGGTTAAACTATGTTAAACTCACCGTTTTTCTTGGGTTAAATCACTATTAAATCACATTAAATCACATATTTTTGCTGGTTTTCTCATCCTGGTTG